TGATAATATCAAAATAGATAATAATTTAAACAAGAAATTTGATATCAATAATATTTTTTATAAGAAAATTAATTATTACTTTTATATTATTATTTTTAGTAACAATTTAATAATATAGAAAAAGGTAACAATAAAAGTAGTAATTATAATATTTTGAATTAGTTTTAATTTTATTTTATTTACAAACAAAATTTTTAATTTGGTTAACTAGTTTGTCGAAAGCTTTAATAAGAATAGATTAATTAAGTAAAACAATTTTAATAAAACTATTTTTTTTTTTTTTTAGTGTTAAGATGACCTCTTTGATTTTTTGACTTTTATTAATGACTTTTGGCAATGTGATTCAATGAACCACTACAGAAGAGCATACAATTAACTATATATGTAACTTTTCTATATTAACTATTTAAAAAATCTACTTGAAGATTTTCTACTAATTATTATACCTAACATTTTTGCTTGGATATTTTACTTTAAATACTCTAAATCTGTAATTTGTGTTAACTTCACTAGATCATATTCAGATGTTCAGATTATTATCTTAACTTTAAAATTATTTTATTCTTAAAATAAACCTTTTAGAGCCTTCTGTATCTATTTTTATAGCCAATTTAGATATCATTATAATAGAACCAACACTTGTAATTAGAGTTATATTATTTAACTACTATGTCTTTATAGAATTTATACAGACCTTAGCATCTACTTTATAGCATAACCCCTATACTTTAATATATTTCTGTCTTTTGTTCAGTCTTTTAATCAGACTTCCAATTTAGATAGCCTATATAAAACTATAATTAACTCATCAATATATCAGGTTAACCTAATATTTTTTTTCTTTAGTTCATTCTGGCAGTCTGGTTAATAGTACTTCTGAGAATCCTAATTTGACAATTCTTGCCTGTTTAAGTAGTATGACTAAATATTATGATCTTGGTATCTGTTTTTTCAAACTAGCTTTTACAATAAGGTTATTAAAGATTTGACTATCTTTTTATTTGGGTCTTCTCAAATGAACTTTTTGTTATCAAATTTCAATAAATTTATATAATCACAAGTCTTATCTTAAGTTTGTACTACTTGATGCCAGTTTGTATTTCTTTGTGTAATAAGTTATACAAATGCTCTATAACCTGCCAGTTATGCTAATGTGACTATTATTATAGGTATCCTAATCTAATTGTTGGTAACAGTTACCATAATATAAGTATTATATAAGTGATTATTCAAATTTTCACTGTCAATAAAATTTGAACACCTAATTTACCACTTAGAAAATTGACAACCTAATTATTTTACTAAGTTACTATACCTTTTAGTAAAACTATTTTAATAACAAATTATAACTAATTTAATTATAAAAAATTTTTTTATAATATTTTTTAAGTTAGTAATACTAAAATCTTAATTAACTAATAGAATAACTATATGTTTAAATGACTAAATTGTAAAATTTTATATTTAATATGCATTAAAATAAATTAAGCCAAATCATAATTTTGAACATACAACTTTATAGTACAGTTAGACTTTTCTAAATGCATGTTACCAAAACCAGCTCTAAAGCATGTATTTAAAAAAGATTGCAATTAAAGAACACTAATAAAATTACAAAATAATTATTATTACTATTTAATAACCTAGAAATAATGAATTTAATTAGCTAATAATCACATGAATAAATTTATGTTATAAGTGAATCAGACAATTAATATGCATTTACAAAATAAAAAACATGCATTTATTTATAAGTTCCACCATGGGTCCGAACTTATAACATGCATTTAGAAGGGTAATGCATTTAAAGAGTATTCTTATGTTCAGAAAATCTGAGCTGCCGGCCAAAAAAAATATGAATTGTAGTATCTCAAAAATTCACTATATATCTAACATTAACAATTATATTTTATAAATAAAATTTCATTTAATTAGAGGTCAAAAGTTAGTTATTATAGTAAATTTTTGTGTTATTTATGTTTTTTAGAATTTCTTATGTTTTTCGCGTTTGTTTTGTTATACAAGATCCTGTGATTTTATTGGATCCGAATAGGGTCGGAAGTGATCTTCAGCCCGGGATTTTCTGGACATAAGGGTATCCGCTCAGACTGTATATTGACACATGATTATTACACCAACATTTATTAGCAATACAGCAATATATTACTACGTTCGGAGCTATAATTTTATATTCAAAAAAGTATATTGAAATTAGCATTATTTAAAAAAATTGCACAAAGTTACTGTTGATATGTGCGTATAATAATCAAAATGATACAATAAATCATCTAAATGTGACTTATTTTAACGGCTTTTTTTATAAAGCCCGCCCAACCCAATATTTTAGCGGGCTTGGCCCAGGCCCGGGCCACTATAATTACGGGTCTAAAAATATAAACCCAACCCGCAATTTTTACAGTTCGGGCTCGGGTAGCCCGACACCGATTACATACCCTAGGTCTGCAAATTACCTATTTTCGTGGTCCGACTCAGCCCGCTTTTATTTTTTTAAATTTTTTGCCGTCCCGGCTCGGCCCGCCTATCTTTTTCTTCGGCCCGGCCCGTTAAAATTTTGAAAATTTTTGGCCCGTTTTAGCCCGCTGTTATAAAATTTTGCTTCAGGCCCGGCCTGGGCCACAGGACCCAATGCAGGCTTCTAATCTGGATGTCCAGTAGAGTTTCAGTCTTCTAGTAAACAACACTTCTCATAAGTTTTCACCCTAGCCCTAATGAAACTCAGTATTTAAATTTTGACGTGACACAAATATCACATGAGTTTGAAATTTTTGGTGGCGATTTTACCCCGGTCAAATTGTTCCATAGTTCCGGGCAGAATTATGTTGTTATGGGCCAGAATTATTTTAATGATGCTGTGTTAAAAAACTAACATGGTTAAACAAGTATCACGGGATGAAATAATAAACGAATACAAGGAAGGCAACTCGCCAGAGGCGTGACTATGATGATATTGGATATTTCTTCATAACGATAATTTATATAGTGATCCTCATATGTTCATTTCTAGCATATTGTAGTCGTAATCAACCGTTCTCGATGTTACGCCCTTTAAATAATTTCTTGGAGGTATGACTAAAAGAGTCTTTAAACATCCTTTCTTAATCCTTTCATTTGAGGCTTCGCTTAGAATTTTAACACACTACCATACATATCCTTCATTGAGAATGTTGGCTGACTATTATCAATTCAGCCAATGCCATAATCCAAGATTTAAAGCCCCGATATTTGTGGTGTCTTAATTCTTTATTTACGAGATTTATGGGCAGTCATGTCTTATTTTTGGAAATATCATTTTTAGTCCGTAACAACAGTTAAATGATTAGGGCATGAAATAAAAATATATGCTTTACATCAATAAAATCTCTATTATATATTTATTATTTATTTTATAATGCTAAAAGAATTAATAATATATATATATTTATTATTTATTTTATAATGCTAAAAGAATTAATAATATATATATATTTATTATTTATTTTATAATGCTAAAAGAATTAATAATATATATATTTGTTATTTATTTTATAATGCTAAAAGAATTAATATATATAAGGTTTTAGAGTTCGAATCAACAAAATGCTATAACAAAGGTTAAAAGGAGGAAAATCAAGCTTAATTGAATTATTTATAGATATATCGATGTAATTTACTCGAATTTTTAGTGGCTTAATAGATATATAATTATTTGATTTATGCAAATTACTTTCATTTATTACTGCGCTAACAATATAATGCATATGCTTACATTAACACCCAAATCCCAAACTATTATAGTTTGGGTTTGAACTCTGACCAAATTAATATCTCAAAAAAACTTTATTAATAGTTTTTATTTAAACATAATATATGTTATTATACCTATTTATGATATATATGGTTTAATTTTTTGTAAAGGTAATTGTATTTGAGTTTAGATTTTGCCAGCAAGTAATCGTATGCATTCAAGAAACATAAGAGACATGTGATTTATTTCTACGAAAAATGGCTAATTTACTAGCAATAAACCTATCTATTGTCTTCCTTAGGGATTTCATCTTTCTCTGGTTCGGGTCCAACCTTTGTTGTTTATTCTTGATATAAAAAAAAATGAAATATTTCTTAAATTCCTTACCTAAAAAATAAAGTATGACTTTACAAAATACTTTATCATTTCATGCTAAGATCGGCACCGAATTCAACAGTAACACGGACTAAATCTTTTATCGTTATAGAAGTACAAAGGGTAGCATAAATCTTACTTTTTTGGCTTATCTTTACATAATCGAATTACGTATCAAGATCCTTAACTAGAAATGAATTAACAAATGTCAATTGATTATGAGTATCTACTTCTTCCTTCTTGATGTTATCACTATTGAAAGTCAATCTATCTTCTGTTTATAAAAGCTAGACAGATTTATTCGAAAATGCCAACAAGAGAGCCCAGTGTCATATTTCATTATTGAGTGAATCGATTTTTATGACTTAGAGAATGTTGAATTTTTAGCTAAAGGAGGATTCGGAAAAGTGTACTGCGCAATTTGGAGATCATAGATTGGGACGTTACAAGGGAGTGACAACCTAAAAAAGTAGCACTTAAAGTTTTTGACGGAGATAAAATCTTCCTGGAAATGAATTGTTTCAAGAAGTAAGTCATTGATTTGTTAATAAGTATTCAGTTTTGATTGCTTGATTTTAATCAATCAAGTATTCAGACTGTCAGAGCATATGTTGTTAATGGCCTAGGTTTCACAAGGAATCAAGAAGGAAAATATATGATTGCCTTAGATTTCTGTGAAAGTGATTTACGAAAATATCTTTAAGGAAACTTTAAAACAATTAATTGGAAGATAAGGTAAAAATTGCTTGGATATACAGAGAATTTCTGAAACCGGATCAGTTCACGGTGATTTGCATCCGGGAAATGTACTTTTTATTAAATTTAGATATGACTAATAACTATAATAATGGGTTATTTCCGAACCTGTGAGCTAGTCGACATGTCTGATGTACAAAGGAAAGTCATGGGAGTACTACATTACATGGCACCTGAACTTTTTCATGGTAGTCATAAGGCACAAGAATCAGACATTTATGCCTTTGGAATTATTATGTGGACAATAAGTGCAGGATATACATCCTTTAGTGACCAATATGGAAATCCTTCCTTAGTTTCCGATATTGTACGTATGCGGTCTTCGGCCTTTTATAATTCCTGGAACGCCACAAATATATTCAGATTTGATGCATAAATGTTGGGCTGATGATCCTCGTGAACGCATTTCCGTGAAGGATGCTTTCGAGTATTATTGAGAAATATGATAGAGAATAGCTTTGTCGATGAGAATTCAACTGAACAAAGTCAATTGTGAAATCTACTTGAATCGAACTTTACAGTTTTTCGAACTAGTGAATTACTCTTTGTATAGTTTATATATTAAAAAATTAAATTGTTTAATTTTACCAGTTGCAACTTTGAAATCTGATTGGCTATTATAAGTAGTTTCACCAGAGTACCGAAATTTTACCGAAATTTTATAGTTTGATCAAAAGCTCCGATTTATAGAAAGTAACTTAGAGGTGACCAATGGATAACTTTGATCCCGTATTTGAAATTGAAAAAAAATGGACAAATTAAATTATAATAGTATGGATTGCTTAAAATAAAATATTCAAAAAAGTGTATACGTATAACATGAACTTTATACGTAGTAGATCTTTTATTAACGTTAGAGTTAGTTATAGTTATTGGTGTGAAGTTGCAGTATTAAACTTACACAAAAGATAGAAATTGTTGAATAAAAGATTTGCTATATTTTGGTTATGATTTGTCACTAATAATATTAATATATTTAAAATTATAATTTAAAAAAGAAAATTACTTAATTTATTCTAGTGTATTATAATTTGTAGATCAATATAAGAACCAAAAATTCGATTAAGTTAAAGTTATATTAGGGTAAGGTTTAAGATTAGGGTAAGGCATAGCCTAAACTAAAATTTGCATCCGTGTTTGATACACTAGTGTAGTACTTTTAAGTTTGTATAAGTAAATTATAAATTTAAACCTGTTTAAGTTTACTTTTTATTTTAATATTTTAATATATATTTTTACTTTAAAACTAATCTTATTTTCAAATCTGACCTTCTATCTTAGTTTGTCGTTGCACTCTAACCCTAGATTTTAGCAAACATCATATATATATATATAATTAAATATAAATATAACATATAAATTAATATATAGTTTTTTAATTTTTAAAAAAGTAAATTAAAAATAATTTTATATAAATCAAATTGTTCAGAATAGGCTACAAATTAAAAGATAATTAAACCAAATAAGTACCTTTAATTGAAAATGCCTTTAAATGAAACAAAATTTTAATAAATGCAAGAATGTTTTGTGTTAAAAGCAAAATTGTTTTAAGCTCTGAATACAGTAAATCTATTTTAATAAATCTGATAGTATATGCACAATGGGTATTTTGTACCAAAAAAGGCAATCAATCTATAAATAATTTATTTAATATTTAATAAAAATATTCAATAGAAATATTCAATGAAAAAATTGCACAAATTATGATACGTACAATGAACACAATAAATTTTAAATTGAAAAATAAATTTGAACTATATAAAATCCGAGAATACTCTATAACAATCGTTATTGATTGAAGAATGAGGAACATGAGAAATGATTTTCTCAAAATCATGTGAAGAAGCAAAAAGAAAGAAGAAAAACATGACGAAAATCAGAATTCACACATATAGATCGTTCCAGACAATAAACATATATTGCAAATTAATAATAATCAAAATAGAAAATATAGAAAATTTCGTTTTGATGAAATTATCCCAAAAAAGAAATCATTCACACATTTGCCAATGTCATATGACATCGATTGTGGCATGAAATGTAGTCCGAATTGTCAAACATATCTAGTAAAATTATAACGATAAATGATCCGGAAATTTGCTTTTAATGCATAAAATCTACATTGCACAGGCGTCACACGGAAATGGCTAGAAATAGCAACTAAATCTTTAAGATAAACTTGATGATGATGAGCCTTTGGCACGTTCTTGATAACTCGAAACAATCTAATAATTTAATTATATTGTTTTATACTAAAAGAGTATTAACAGGCATTAACCTGGTATTCGGTGCATTAGTGATCATAGATCACGAAAAGGGAAATGAAACTAGATCATTATGGCGCAGCATGTGAACGAACAAATAAAAAAGGGACCATTATCATGGTCATGGGTTCGTAACACACAATATATTGTTAATATTTTACGTATGTACGTACTGTACGTACTGTACGTACGTTACTTACTCACATACTTACATACTTAGTTATACTTAGTTAAAATCAAAAGTACCAAAAAAATTTTTTACGTACAAGAAAAATGTGCAACAATTCCGCATTAATTAACATTTCATATGCTTGTATCCTTTTTAGAAGAATTAATTATATATAATTACAATCCATAAAGATGAAACATTGTGGTACATAACACAAAGAAAGATCAAGACAAAATGAAATTCCCAAAACTTAATACATTTAATATAAACGGGCGATCGGGATAGAGCGAAAATTTGGAATATAGAAGTGTAACGTATTATCAATAATAATCAAAGTTTAATCAGCAATTACGTTATCGGTAATCAGTTTTATCTAATTCCCAATTTTATTGTATAAGCAAATTCTTTTATCAGCGCATACATTATTTTCGGGCGTAACCTTAAACCTTAATGAAATAACAAAAGTGAGGATAAAAATAGGGATAATAACCAAATAAAAGTAATTGATTACGCACTTTAATTCAAGGACACATAATCAGTTTCGAACTCCGATACCAAATATATTTTAAGATGAAACAATAGCCACCTTAATACATCTATAAGCACCATTTTAAAAAAGACCAAATCACAGACACTAGATAGACACTAGATATATAATGCAGCAAACTAAAAAATATTAAATCATTCTAAATATGTAACATACATAATGAAAGATATAAGACACAAAAGTAAACTTTAATACAAAAAAGGACATCAATCACCTGAATAAATGCTATAAATAGATTTATTGAATTTAACATAGCATCTTACCAGACCAAAATTCCGCATTTTTTTACCGATTGAATGCGTATAAGGGAGAAATGACGTTATAGAAATTTCAATCACTAACATAACATACAACATAACATACAACATAATATACAACATAACATAGTTTAGGGTACATAGAAAATCTGAAACGTAATAATAATGTATGTAGCGCATACACTTATTATGTGTCGTCGAAAGTTTAAATGGCATCTAATTAAAATGTGCATTTACTTTAAATATATGGTTCATTAGTTGTACTCAGGATAACATGATTGCACAACATAAATCGAGACCCTTAATTTTTTACATGTGTAATCTGCGTTGTACCGGTAATAAATAAATAAATACTTTCGATCGAAATTATTCAAATGCAAGTCTCTTGATCTTTAGACATGATTCAAAGGGGTTCTTGAACCTATAAAAAGAAAATGTGTAAAAGTTGATTGATATTGTGTTCATGTGTAATAAATATTTAAATAGTATATGTTTTAAAAACAATATTACACTTTATATGATGAGAACATTATTGAGACAAGATATTCTTGCCTACACAAGTTGTGAATCCGGTTTTAGCCGGTGGCGTGATTTGTCAACGTGGTAAAAAATATAGGATTTACCTGAATTGTGGTGAGACTTGGAAAGGTTCTGAATTAGGAAAAATGTTAATTGAAAATGAATCATGTTAAGTGATGAATGAGGGATGACGAAAGAATTATTGATGAAACGCTTTTAAAAAATCCTTATGAAAAACTGATCCTATTTAGTCTTGAATGATAATTTTCTTTGTGAATTATCACTAATTGATCAAAAAAATTACTAATCAATTAATCTATAAAGGCCTTATGACCTAATGATACGTACGTACTTATTGATGTGCATTCATTACTATAAATAAAAGCATAATAAAGAATTTGGAAAAGTATCTTTCAATGCTATGAGTATGACTACAACAAATTGCTTATCGGGTAGTGAGATACTTATCGTTATGTACAGTACCTTAAAGCAGTGCCCACGTGACCGAGTTTAAAAAACACGAGACTACATTATCCATTTAGCATTAGCATTAAAAGATATCACTAGCTAAGTCAATATGTTACAAACACAGGCTTTAACGTTAGAATACAAGATGACAGCATACTAAAACAAGTAAATATGAATTCTTACGTATAAGTGTTTCGCGTTTCAAGTTTCACAGTAAGTCTCGGTATCTATCATCTTACACAATCACATGTCAAATTTATCAATCCATAAATTTCAATTAATAACACTCCGTATTTGAGTTTTTTTTACGTATTTACGTATTTACATTTATGTATTATAATAGATAATGAAACAAAAACAATAAGCAAAGAAACAATGATGATCTCCAATTCTAAGTTTCTTTTTTACAGATGACTATCGGCTTCGAAAGCAAGATATATCAGGAATAATGTTTTTCTGTGGACTGATTACAGATCGTTTGAACTATGAATAATGATTCTTAGAATTTTTTGAGGCTTTCTTATGTTCTCGGTTATCACAATCATCATAGTTACTGATAAAGTTGATAGTGCTAACTCATTCAATTATTCATTGTCAGATGATAGTACAATAAAAATCAAGAAATGTTTCACGTTTGAAAATTGTAATTTGCAGAAATACAGTATCATTATCCTAATTAAGAAACCAAGAATTTCTTTTATCGTTCAAGTTTCAAACAATCAAGAATGCATGTAGTTTTTTACCAAACTTAAAAAACTAGATATAAACAGAGCTTAAGTTTTGTGCCGCTGCGATTATCTGCGAATCTGTGTGAACTGCATTTATAATAGGGAATACATGCACAAAATGCAGTGTTGCAGATTATCAAAACTTAAAAATTTTTTTTTGTGATATGAGCCTTATCATTAAATTTTAGTATAATCGGCGTCACATTTAATAAAACATTCTCCTTTGACAGTCTGTACATTATGCTTTATTTCTCATTCAATGAACTTTATTTATTATAGCTTATATAAATTAGTCAATTTAATAATATTATTAATAGTAATATTTGATAGTCACAAAATAAATTTTCTATCGTAGATTGTGAAAGAATCCTTGTGAAAATTACCGCATAAAAATTTGTTCTTTTCCATTAAAGGTTTTCGATAAAATTATATTGCATTATATCGGTTTCTTTGTATAAAAATCACTTATGTATTATTACTTATACATTATTACTTACATTTATATTATTAATATCCATATAATAAACTCATGATTCGGTAACAGTAACTCCTGTTCATACATGACATTTGCATTCGATTATATCTCTGCGTAATATTTCTCACTATTGTTCTCATATCATTCATATTCTTGATTCGTTCTTGAACATTTATTTTTAAGTATTACCTAATTTTACTTAGTGTAGGTTATCCTTTCCTACGAGTTGTCTCCGGGTAAAAATATTCTACAAATATAGAAAATACTTGTTTAACATCCTTGTCTAATTTAATGGTTGGTGTTATTTACATTGCATTTAGTAGTAGTACGAACCGACCTTGAATGTCATATAATATAAAATGGGTATGACTTTAAATAACGTTAAAAGTTAAGCTTATATTCTTAAATATTGCATGTGGTTGGTCGAATGTAGTGCATCATTGACTATAAAGTCCTTATCAACTGTAATCTCGATTCCTTTAATCCTCTGAACAAAGCTTTACCTACATACATATCTAGATTTCTAGATTTATGAAAAAGTTCGGTCTAATTATAAATATGTATCATAAACCAATAACATATATACATAACAATTATCAATTTTATACTATTCTTAGATATAAGCATATTGTAATTCATTGTTCGATTAATATACTATATGTCAAAATTTCTTGTAAAAAAATTTTTTTATGCGCTTTAAAATCTGAAATAAATCGGTTCAAGAATTCCAAATTGGTTCGATTAACCAATTATTTTTTAATTGTCTTGCTTCTTCAATTTACTAATGGAGCGTTTTTTGCCGCTTGAATGTTCTACATAGGATTATTTATTCATGCTGCAGAAATTATAAATTATTATTAATTTTTTTCGGTTATTTAATTTCGCCTATTGTTATCAATATTCGGAATTAAGGTATCTTAATAGTCACATGGAGTCAGCTTGAACTGGTCTTTATTAATGATTAAACCTTTAAGAACGTTAATACTCAATATAGGTAATAATATATATAACATGTATGTTGTGCCATCGAGCTATAGTTAACTTATCCGATAATACGTATAATTTACATAGCGCTTATCGATATAAGCTATTAAAGCTGACCGGCTTTAAGGTTAATTTTGGTAGCATTAACACCAAGACAAAAAAAGTCTAATAAATAATTCACTGTAATTATTTGCTTATTTTAATATTTGCTTTTATAATGAACTGGTCAGTTCTTATACATATCAAAAGATTTTATATATAATTTATTATTTTTCTATACTGAACCCTATGATAAAATTTTTCGTTATAGTTATATGTATCTCATTTGACTTTAATCACTTGGGTCAATCAAAAATTTCACGATTTTGATTGGTTAAATATAACAGGTGATTATCGGGTAATCTCGTGATATGCATGGCTTCGTGCAACTTTTCTTTTATCTTGACTATTTGTTATGCAAATCGACTCTCATTTATAATTGAAAAATGTTAACTACATTAAGTTTACCCAAATCCAATAAAAACTCGATTTCATTTTTGGGGCAGTTTCCGCCCTTTCTACTGCAAAGCCCCCATATAATCTAATTACTGTAAATGATGCATAATGCAGGCTAAGCTTTTATAATGTTATAATGCTGGTTACATTCATGTGATCACAATTGTAAAATTATATGTATATAAATGTAATTTTCGTAACACATCTTAGTAATATCAAAAGATTTTAGAATAAAGCACGGTGAATTTTCGGGATAAAAAAAAATATAACTTATGCAAGTCACATCTCTTAAAATGAACCTTATGTAGCTAAATAATTCCAGTGCAGAGAGTAGGATAAGGTAAACAATTCCTTCCACCTGATATATCAGAATAAGTTATTGTAACTTTGTCTGCACGTGACATAATACAATGTAACTATTGTTGTAAATTATCGTAGTAATTATTTCTACATACCACGTACAGCATTCAGATCAAAAGAGGAATTTATCCGTGTATTTAATTATACATCTTTCCATTAGTTATATAATAGGTTCTTTAAAAATTTTAATAAATAATGTCATAATTGTTTCTTTATGCCTTAAAACGATAAATAAGAATATGTTAAACAAATTATGGGAAAGAAGAAAAACATTATGCGTTCTCGAGAAACAACAGCTTTCGTTTCTTAGTTATCAGTTGTGCAACCAAAATTATCCATCAGAATGGGTCGGCATTAATAAATTTCGCCCAAAATTTTAAATCACGTGTTAATTTTACTGTTTAAATTTTTGTGAGGAAATATTGAGTTGAGGTATTTCACAGTTTTGATTCTAGAAAATGTGTCATACAATTTGAAATATACAAATTTAACTAAGAGTATATTTAATAAATACACAATCATTTATACATATTTTTTTATACCTCTGTTATAAAATTTGTTGTACTGTATATATAATAGGGATTAGAACCGCCTAAAAATTTTCTTAATCGTTTAATCGTAACTGTTTAATTTGGCCGGCATTAAAATAATTCCGGCCCAAAATCAACATAATTCTGCCTGGAACTATGGAGAAAATTTTAATATATAATAATGACATTCACAATTAAAAGTTATATTGTTATATACTAAGTGGAAAGGAATTTGAGTAGGTTAGAAATTTTTTAATAAATTTAAATTTTTACTTTAATCCTAAAATCTTAATATTTTAAATTTATTTATTGCGTTTTGGCAAAATTTTATGAAATTTAAAAAAGAAATCGTACGATTGTTTAGGTGATTCTGATTCCTTAAGATTACTTCAATATGAAAATTTCACATCCAGATATCAGAGTACCTTTACAAAATTAGAATCACTTTACGCTAACAATCGAGCGATTGTTTGATCCGCAAATTTCACAAAAGTTTTCAAACCACTATAAATTTTGTATTTGTTATTATAAATGATATATGATTTAAATTACAATGTTATAAATCATAAATCATTGATTTAATTTATTGCTGTTTGCAAAATTTTGTGATAATTTGCATATTATAAAAACACTAAGAAATTAGGTGATTTCTGATTCCTCGATATTTGAATGTATTGGAATAATTTTAAGAGATCAGAAATAAGTCTAACAATCGTGCTATTTTATTTATTGATTCTTTTTTTTTTACAAAATTTTGCAAACTGCAATAAAACAATTTATTAATAAAGCGGGCTTAAATTTTTATTAGCATCATTAGATTATCACAAATCGTTCAATTTGTTGTTTTGATTAGTATTCTGATTTGAGCAATTACAGTAATTACTAAATGTAATGTAAACCAAATTTGTGATCTCTGTTTTCTAATGATTTTAAATTAATTAATAAGATTTCACTTTTTGTACCTGTAGTACAGTTAAACAAAATAAAATTAAAATCTAGAAAAATATAAATTCAAATAATTTTTATATACAAAAATCTAATATAATTTTTATACAATTAATAATAAAATTGGTAAAAAAATTCTTTTTAAGTATTACTTTTTTGTAAGTTTAGTGTACTATCAGATTATTCTATATTTTATGTATATGAATTTACTTTATTAATTGCATGATTACTTAAAACAGTATTAGAAATAATAATGCAACATAATAGGTTATTTTTCTTTTTGCTGTATTCAAAAATTCTCTAATTTCAGATACTTGAATTTTATAATTTTCACTTTTATATTTACTTGAGCAAACCAAAATAATTGTCTGTATTAACCTAAATAAAAAAATATTAGTATATTATTTTTATATTATTTTTTTATTAAATTTATAGATAGAAGTTAATACAAGCAATTAAACAAGTTAATCTAATGGTATATTAGTTAGTTTCTTATTCAACTATAGAAACCATAAAACTATTTAGATTTATTTATTATAAAATTTATAAGCAATTCAAAAAAGTTGATTTAACTATTCAACTACGTATAGATTTGAATAATTATACTAAGTAAACAATTGCTTACTATAAAGATCTGTACAACCATCAGATAATTTAATAAAAATTTTCTTTGAAAAAAGAAATAAAAGTTTGATTCATCTCAATAATCATTTCATTATAAATTGCTAACTTATATAAAAAATATTCAAAAACTTTTTCTTTAAATTTGTTTTTATGATCAGTTTTTGCTAATTTGTCAAAGTCTTTAAATTTAATTTTTAATAACTTTTCAACAATGGTTTAAAAGTTTTATTAATTCCAAAATATACAAATGACATTTTATATAAAAAATATGTTTTTTTCTTTTATAAATAAAATTAATTAATAAATTTATTCAAATTATTATCTGTTTTTATTATTAATAAATTAATTTATTCTAATTAAAATTATATAATCTTGGATGTTTATTTAAAACAATATTAGATTAATTAAATATTTTAATATTTTATATTTTTAAATACATTTTAAATTCAAAATCTGATTAATAAAAATTGTTAATTATATAACATATTACTAATAAATCATTCGTCATTCTTAAAAGAAATTCACAAATGATTTTGCTACTTTTTAAAGTGAGGGAGTAGTTAGGAACACTAACCCCGTTTTTAAAACTATCCCTTGTCGGAGCATCAAACAATCTTCAGAATAACATATTATTTATATTTTAAGTTTGCGTTATGAGGATTTAAGCAATGATATTCTTAGGGAAGCTAAAAAGCTTAGTTTAAACTAAGAATTCAGAATCTGCTACAATCATAATGAGCTTTTCATCGCTTAGTTATGGGGGAAATATACCGACACAGAATACACGTGATTTAGTGCACAGCAAAATGGCCAGCATTAAACTAATCGACACAGCATGGCCGGCATTAAGGTTAGGATTGGCGATAGAGGGTATAGCGAAATTAGTCATGTGTATGCAGTGCCGTAGTTAGGGAAAGTCTACGAACGGGACGATCTACGGACACGTACCAATTCATATGACTTGCACGTACCCTAACTTTAGGTTAAGTATTTTTAGCACATAACTGTAAGTATTAGTTCAACTATAGCAAAGTTCAAGTTAGCTATAAATGAAAATACAGAAGGCTCTAAAAGGTTTATCTTAAGAATAAATTAGTTCTAAGATTTAAACAAAGCAAAAAATTTGCAATTTTTTCTATGTTATGGCTAACTGTCTTCTGTCTTCTTATTTCATTTCCTCTACGTTGGCAGATATCACATAGGTTCTAGATTTATAATAGGTACGTGCAAATCACGTGAATCAGTACGTGTCCGTAGACGGTCCGGTCTACGAACACGTACAAGTCACGTGAAATCTTACGTATCCTAAACTAAGATTGGTGATTGGTACGTGTCCATAACGTTTAGTTAGGTTAGGGTCATGTGACTGGTAAGTGTCCGCAGTAGGGCACCTCATTTTCTGCTGCGATAGACCCCAAATTCTGCATGCTTTACAAATCAGGTTATGCGAATTATGCGATAATTTTTTTAGAATTATGCTGCAAATTATGCGATAATTTTTTTAGAATTATGCTGCAAATTATGCGAGAAGTTGGGACTAGCGTTTCATTTCTTATGTCTTAAACCCGACTAAAACCGGGTTTAACACATTAAAAATAACATCGGTTCCAAAATGCACGTAACTCATTATAGTTAGAACAAGCTATAGTATTACATTCACACTTCTAGTTGCGACCACTTATCAAAAATTACTCCTAATTTTTTACGTTCTCGTGTCTACATTTCCGAACTATCCCGATACCAATACGACTTCCAATAAATAAAATTATAGTTTGCTCTAATTTTATCATTTTATGCGCAGATTATGCTCTATTAATTATACGAAATTAGACCCGATATGCCAATATGCTATCGCATATGCTTTTGCGATATAATCTGATTTATGCGCAGATTATGCTATCGCAAATCGTCAGTATCCCTAGTCCGTATGCATACAATTCACGTGACCTTGCACGTAAACATGTCACTTGCTAATATACTTCCTTAAAGCTAGGTACGTGCAATTGGTACGTGTCCGTAGACCTATACGATAAATAAAGGCTGCCTGTCGAAAGTGAGTTTATCATGTAATTACACCAATTGTGGAATACGATTATACATACTGATTCCGGCTTATGCTCCAATTGTGAAACACTATTTCTATTTTTAAAGCCCTCAAAATTCCAAAATTATACGGCTACCCGATTCCGTACCCTAGCTATCGCTATCCCTAGAGAAGGTTAATTACGCGTCTGATCTACGAGGCTTAGTATTATTGCTAGAAGGTAGTGATGCCTGACGAAATGACGAAACCTGACGAAATCCTATAGTTTCGTCAATTCGTCAATTGACGAAACTTATGTTTTTGTCATACTTCGTCATTTCGTCAGGCATCACTACTAGAAGGTTCTAGTAATAATGACGTCAACGCAGACGAAGAATGTTTGCGAGTGAATGAAGTGTGGAGAAAAACTTATGTGCTGAAAGAAGCGATGTAAGATTAGCAGGATTAGTGACTGTGTTATAAGACTTAGTAAGAGTAGTGATAGCCCACTCCAAAAGCCCCTTACGACCTTTTGTTATAGAAGAGCTGACTTTCTGTTGTTGTAAGAGTAAGAACCTCTGGGTCATCAAATTAAATCAAACTAACCTATTGCAATCCTTACCGTGCTAATTCACAATCGTCGCGTCTCTGGAGCAGCGTTGGCCATTTTAGGTCATATCTAACTTTATATGACCAAGGTGATCATAATGTATAGTAAATTGTATAAGTCATAACAGGCCATGAGGTCATAACTACAATTAGCAATAAGCCGTAACGAGCCATATACCAGCACTGCTCTGGTGAGATGCCTTATATTATTATTATTATTATTTTTATTCATCGTTTAATAAAACATTTGTAACATCAATTTTACCATAACAGTATAAATATAAAATAATAAAATGTTTATAAATATATTATTTAACGATAAAACGCGTACAAATATATAATCATAAATATGTATAAATATATAATGATAAAATGTGTTAAATAAAATTAAATAGTGTTTGAAAAATCTTTAAGAACCACCAGCACAAGTGACGAATGCCTACTGGTTTATTCCAAAATTCAAGGGGTGAAGTGAGATTGGGGTATCTAATGAATTATAACATTAAATCCTACACTAAAAATTATATACCGTATTTTTGCCTTTTAAATTTTAAAGCTTCTTCATATTTTTCTAAATCAGGCTTAACACATGGAAATTGTTTAGCATCTTTCTTGCCTTCTTGATCATAATAAAAAACAATCCATCCTATTCCAGGATAATGTTCAATTCTGCGATTTTTCAAATTTTCTTTATGACTTACACGTCTTAAATTGCACAAAGTATTATTTAAACCGTTTCCATCAAAATGGTCAATATCTCCTTTCCAATTTGGATAAATATGTTTATGAAAAGTTTTACCACCACTCTTTACATATCTTGTATTACCTGATTTATATGATGTCCAAACATGTTTTTGAACCAAATCTTTATACTTTTTATCACAAATAAATGATCCATTATTTAATTTAATTTGAAGGCATTCTTGATCACGAAACCTAACACGTCGAATTTGATTAAATCTTTTTCCCTTATAACGTCTGCTTTTGGATATAGTTCCTTTACTATATTCTCCTAAAATTTTAAATGATGGATTCTCTTCAAAATTCATTACCAAAGACATTCTTGATAATTCTTCAAGTGTATTGCGATTTAGTTTAATAGGTGAATAGTGTTATTATTAGTAGTGATTTAAATAAATAATTTTTTGAAAAGTGGGAAGAGAAAAAAGAAGACCTTTAAATAGTTTTTCAACAATTAATAATTGATCAACCGTTTAAAGAATTGTAAATGCAATTTCTGAAACAGTTTACGAGAATTATCATTCATTGCCTTCATTGCCAGTAAGATGCGTCGCGTCACCAGGACTTAGTTTAGGTGATAGCTAATCAAAATTAGGCTTCAGATCACGTTTGTTTAACATATATTATGTTTCTTTTACTCGCATTTTCTCGGTTTTTTGAAATTTCTTTTAGGTGGTTTTTGCTACTTTTGTTTTGTTTCTTCAGCATTATTGAGGTGTATCTTTGACGACTTTCGTAGAGCTCTTTGACTTTCACGGAGTTCTTCTGGCGACTTATTCGGAGTTTTTCTGGCCAGATCTTCCGACAACTTTCTTGGAGTTCCGGTGTTTTTTACGGAATCCTTCCGACGACTTTCTTGGAATTCTGGTGTTTTTCACGGAATCGTTCCAGCGACTTTTTTGAGTCATTTGTGACTGTTTTGAGATTTTTTTTTTTTTTGGAATTCTTTTGTGACTTTCTTAGAGCTCTTTAGTGATTTTTTGAGGCTCTAGTCGATTTTTTGAAGGGTTGTTTTTTTTTTGACAACTTTTAGGAGTAATGCATCCTATAAGATCAGGTGTAACGTGAAATCAAAACAAACCTACTAACGTGTTAATTTAGGATAAGGGCTAGCGTTAAGATAGATTAGGGCAGAATGTTAATAAAAAGTACACCTGCACCAAATTTAGGAAGGAATCTTTTTTGTTACAGTACCGGACAGTAAAACGCATCCACTCTTTATCAGTTAAACCTTTAGATTTTTTAAATCAAGCTAAAACAAACAAACATCTGACAAATTGTAGATTTTTAGCTAACTACATTTCTATCTGAGAGTTTTTTTCTTACTGTCTGTTTTAAGAAAGTTATAAAGAGTTAAAGTTTATAATAGTTTAAAAATTGGCGTTTAATATAAAGATAACAGATTTATATAATCAATCAGAATCAATTACACCAAAATTAGTCAATCAAAATCGATGATGTACATCTGATCCTACTATTTGATTGGTTGATCACAAAAACCTGCAATTTGATTTGCTGATGAGTGATACAAATAAAATATAGTTATTGGATGCGAAGCAGCCAATAAGAATTATTTGCAAAATGATTCATTTTATCTGGCTGCGTACATAGCATCCAATAAAGGTTTTATCAAGTGGTTTACAACGATTGAACCAACCGAATAATTCGAGTTCTTTTGGTAATAATTGCGTTAACCAACTATCACCAAATAACTTGAATTATTCTGTTGGTACGATAATAGTAAGCTGCCGGATAAAAAAATTTATACAATTTTATTGTGTGAAAAGTATTGTCAATATTATAAAAAACTATCAAGATACAAAGTTTGATAAATTTAATCGAATGACGTTAATGACAATGGATTTCCTTAGAAATAATATATTGTTTATTTAAGTCACGCTATTTTTTTACAATATGTTACCATATAAAACTTGCAATTTAGAGTCATTTAATAACATCTTTTAAACTTTATAAAGCTTATAATGAAATTACATTGTTATAAAAAACGCCAACTTAAAAAAATATATTTATGCATAATTACATTTATGGGAAGGAAAGCCCAAAAATCAACAGCGTTAAAAATTGGTATTCCGTGATGGAAGACCTTATATTCTAGTAAATGGATTTGTGCCTTCAACTAAGTCAGCGTAATGTTGAACGGCAATGGAAGTATTGTTGAATAGATCCTGAGGTCAATATTTAAGGCTCCTTGAAATTGTTCATTACCATTTTGTGGACTACCAATTGAGGTCTTTGTAGCTGGCTATTATTGTTTCGTAGCCGAGCGCTAGTAATTTGAGTCGTAGATTGGTTTATATTTGTATTAAAAAAAAAATTGGGTGGAAAGGCAAAAAGATAGAGTTTTTATACTTCTTAGATGTCGGAAGTCTTGATTCGGGTGCAAGTATGTACGCGTAATTTTTGATATTTATTTCTTTGCTACATAATTTATATGCCGTGATTTTCGATTTTAATATCTCGGCTACCCAATTTATTTATGTATGTAATTTGTTCAAGCTATTAAAATAGCGCCAGGCATGGTATTGGCAGTATGTTGTGCCGACATTTGCAGAACTCTAGTATGCACCCTTGGAAGAATATTGCGTGCGTACACACGAATTGTCGAATTTCCGTTAGTCAAAACTATATCAAAGTAGTAGTACAGTACTGTTACTATTGTTTGGGCTAGTATCAGAGTTCAGACCCAAAATATTGGAAATAGCATAATTATAGGTCATTCTGGATAACAAAAAAAGGAAAATAAAAAGACAGCAGTATAAAATTATCTTGACACGCTAATAAAAGATCGAGAATGCAATTTTACGTATAATACTGAACATAAAGCTAACTTATACAGACCAATGCTAATTAGGTTGTTTTTAAATGTGGCGTATCGTCGTGAAGTAACGTCCCGGGTGTTATTTCGAGGCACAATTCAAGAGAGCTAAGAATTAATTTTGTCCGAGATTTTCAAAAAATAATAAAATTATTGTTTGTATTTGTCAAAAATCAGTTCTTAGCTCTCTGGAAATTGTGTATCTCAAAATGACGCTCTGGAGTGTTATTTCGCGATAATACAGTATAATATTGAATCGCACCCTGATACTGTTCTTAAATACGGTTTAAAATTTCATTAATCATATTTTTTTCAAAATAAACCCAGGTTTTGAAATTTAAGATCGTACGAGCGATTACATTAAGCTGCATGTTATTTTCATATCCGTCTTCAGGAGGATATTCTTCTAGAATAATTAGTTGAGTGTAAGGGTTATATAGGTTTCTAGGAGGTCTAGGTTAGAGTTGTGACCCGAAACCTTCAAATTAGAATGTATATAACTAATACACATTCACTATAAAGTAACCAAAACATTTCTGAAATGTAATCTATTTATCATGTACTTTATGTCTTAAAGTCTAAAGTTAAATTTCTAAGTCTTTCAGTGTAGTATTAGAGTTTCTAAAAAGGTATCTTGTTTCGGTTTCGGGATTTTATATATAGTTTCGGGTTTCGGTCACAACTCGAGTCTAGGTGGAATGGAACGAATTTTTTTGTGCAGTATTAAATCTTTTACAGTGTCTATATATATATATATTTGCAAAATAGTTGAAGCATCTTTAATTACACGTGGACTAGCAGAAAAAAAATAGAAAGTTCTATATGCTACTGTTAAAAGATATGCAAAAACGAATAATTCTAATCACTCGTTCAAGGGGTACTGTTTTTTCCTGCAATTATTTGATCTGTTCGGCATTGATTTGTTTAACATTACAGCTCGTCTTAATTTTTGATCAATTTTCTGAAAGAGTTAAGCGCCCCTTTTGTGATGATAACCTGAGCAGTAAGTAGGTCAAGAAACGACGGTCCTAACTTCACAGTTACGAAAGAGAGCATGAGCCCTTTCATAATATTAGATAAGCCATTCAGTCTTTGCATCACCATTTTAGCAATATCATGCCAGTCTTTACAAGTGGTTATCAATTCTATTGGAGTTTAATAAAGGTCGGCCCTGTAAAAATTTTATCCGAATATTTCCGTTATTTCTCTATATTTTTTGTGAAAACTCCGTGAATTTGCAACAAGCTGAATAATCACCATGATTTAGGGTTATAAATTCCGTGAATATTGAAAAAAGCATGCAATATAAAACGTTTAGATTAGTGATTTGAACCGAGAAAAAAAATTCTTAATCGGTTAACCGAACCGAAATATTTTATGGCAACCGATTGCAACCAGTTAAGATTACTGTCTCGGCCTTTACTCAAATTTTTTTCTCCAGCTTGCTCGTCTTTTATGTTCACTTATTTTCTTTTCAGACCTTTTCGGAATCTTCGCTCATTCCTGATGTCTTTTACATTCTGTACGATTCTCAACCGGTTGTACGGGTCAACCGATTAAGAATTTACTCAACCAGTTACCCGAAATTTATTCGGTTCGGGTCGGTTAACCGATTATAGCCCAACCGATTCAAATCACTAATATGATGAGGTGATTACGAACATTAGCCAATCATGGTAAAGCCCGCTATGCTGACGTATAACAGTTTATTAATAAAACTTGAGTTACACACGTATGATTACTCTTTGAGTGGAAAGCACTAACTATTCACTATCGATTCGGGAGGGGGGATTTAAGGTAGTTATACATGTTGTAAGCCGGTACCGCTCATTTCACCGACATTCATTTAAACCATTTGCCGACATGTTTACACTTATTTCACCGACAAGTTCCTCATTTCATCGACAAAATAATTCTCATTGTCGTTAGAGTCAGGTTGGAATTAGAGTTAATATTAGTGTAATTTATAAAAAAACCTTGTCTGTGAAGTAAACAGGTCGGCGAATTTTTATCGGTAAAATGATATGTCTGCGAAATGAGTGATACGGAACCGCCGTTGTAAGCTATGGACCTTCGAAGCTAATAACTATTCTATTTACTTAAGATAATACATTAGATATATAATAAATAAGAGAGATAAAAGGGATAAATAGAATATAAGACTAATAAAATAAAGATATAATGTAATAGATATCACCTTTGATATTTAAAAAAAAATAAAAATAAATGTAATAGATATTATTGAGACCAATAAGAGCTAGCAATGCTCTTAAAAATTTATGATTTGATAGTATTCCCTAAATTTCAACCATTACACACCAATTTCATCAATAGTAGCGAAATTATTTAATAAAGCATCTTTAGTTATAACTATGCCGTATTTTAAAACCCAACTTAATAGAACGAAGGCCTTAAAATTGTCTAAATTGATACACAATTTTATATTTAGGATGTGAAAGCTTTGATATACTTCTTAATTGAATATTTTTATTACTTTATTACTATAATCAGGTGATTGTGACATCATCAACGATCAATAACTTAACAGTAATATATAGATTTGGATGTTGATAGACTCAAAACGATCAGAAATCACCTGATCACGATGTTTATTCTGCCACCACTTTTACTTATCAATGAATGATTCTAAAATACACGGCGTATCGGAGTTAATCAAGATCGGTTTGACTTTTTTTTTTAGTCTACGATAAAATTTTTGTATAAATATTTGTATTATACTTGTTTTGGTATATATTATGTTTGGATGCTAACTCTAATGTTAGTTTTATTACTAGCCTATCTAACAAGAGGGACATCGTCAATTAGAATGAGTAAATTTTAATTAGTAAAAAAATAGTTTAACGAATTAAATATGGTTATCATTCCGTGATGGTTTATTGTGTTAAAAATAAAATTTTAATTAGTGGAAGATAGTTTAACCGATCAAGAGGATTTATCACCAATTAACAAAGGCTGGTGGCCTAGAAATATTTTTCACAAAGAAAAAAAAGTATATTTTCGCTGTTATAACATATGAAAATTGAGAAGTCTGAAAAAGGAAAAACAGGAACTGAAATTGTTTGTGTTCCATTTTTTTTATTACATAGTAATCAATATTTTAATTATTGTAATAATTGAGTAAAGATACAATCATAAATTGTCATGTATTATCGTGAAATTTTATATACGACTTTTAAACTTTTTTTTTGGCGGATTTTTTTTTATAGTTAATTGCTATAAGATCCCACTTTATCAATACAATATTCCCGACAAGACAGCACGTCTTTTCGAAAAGACATTTAACCGACATTACATGTTTTTGACAACCCTTTTTTTAGACAAGACATTTCTCTGATAATTATTTTCCTGACATAATTCTAACCAACATTACAGCACTAACTCTAAATCGGCCCTACCCTAATGTTAAATCGGGTCAATTATATGTCGGGAAATAATTGTCATGTCTAAGATTAGCTAATCTTATTGAGCGTGCTGCTCGAGAACACCCAAAACAAAATACAGCATAATTTTTTCAGTATAATGTAGGGTATGACTTATTTATTTATTATCGATAAACTTTCTTGTAAATAATGATAATAGATAAAGATGTAATAAAACTAAAATGATATTTGGTTTTAAATTTGAATATATAACTTGGCGTGAAAAAAAAATTTTAAATACTAGGAACCGTAAACCGGTATAAGTTCGGAGCCTAAAATTTTTTTACGTAATGTTCGATTAATGGCCTCAGCCCTTGAATAATCTGTTATGTAATTTTTCAGGGGCGTTACAGACCGAAATTACAGTTTTGATATTTCTATTATAATTATAAAATCGCAGGAGTCGATATGAATGAAACTATGTATCTTAAATAAATGCTCTTATTTCATATCCATGAAACTTATAGTAAATAAAAATCTATCCTATCACTTGGGATAAGGATTCAGTTATAATTATTTCTTATCTGTCCAAAGCCCAATTATTTTTTGTTCTTTTTATCTACATGCCTATCTAAATCCTCACTTATGTCCAACTCGTCGAATAAATGTTTTTTATTCGATTCTTCATGATTGCTTTGAATTTGTCTTTGTTCTTCGTCAATAACATTATCTAAATTATTTTCTTTCATATAATCTCCTACCGGAATATTTTCATTAGAACTATTTTCTTCAGGAACAATTTCATTCAGAATATTTTCTTTAGGGTTTTTATTTGGGATATCATTTTCTTGAGAAACATTACGTGTATTTTCCTTCCTGATTATTTTTTCACGTAATTTTTTATCAATTTTACTCGAATTTTTTGGATCAACAAAATCTGAAGGGAGATCGTTCTCCCAATATTTATTATATACCCAGAAAGAATTTTCTTTGTCATTAACGCGACATATTATACCTCCTAATATATATGACATATCAACTTCGATTTTTAAGTAGACATCTCCCTCACGTTCATATAGGCAATTTCGTCATCGTAAACATATTTTTCTGCTTCCTCCTGTGTAATACCTTCGGCAAATTTGATATCAAATCTTCCCTGAATAAAATCATTTAAATCACCAGGTTTATTAAATTCATCAGATTCGATAATAAATTTTACACGTCCATCTCTTACATATCTTCCTTCAAGTTTAATTATGTATCCATGCGTATATTCTCGAGCTTTTGTGAATCTTCTAAAAATAGCATTCCGTTTTTCTTCGTTTTTAACGGGATCATTTTTGCTTTTAACGTGTTTATCTTTGCTTTTAACACTTTCTTTAGATTTGCATTTTTCAAAACAAAATATATCGTCAAAAGAATCTTGAGCTGTAAACACGTGAAACTTTGAAACTATTTCAATAGGCTTTTTTTTTCTTTGTTTAATTGTTAGGCTATTTTTTTCACAACAACTCATTAAATCCTGGAAATTGAATGTATCATGAGTTAATTCGTCCTTAGTAATACATGCTTGATTCTGATACTCGTCAATATAATTTTGATCTTTAGCTTTAATACAAATACAATTTGAACGATCTTTAGTTAATGCAGAGGCTAAATTTTCCATTAAAGTTGATTTTCCAGGTCCAGAATCACCATAAAAGAAAAAATTTTTTGGATAATGCTTTTTTCCTGGAATGTATTTAGTCTCACTTATTAATCTTTTTTTTTCAAATTCTTCATATTGTGAAAAATTACTAATCCAGAATCGAGGCAAAAGTTCGGCAGGGTTTTTTAATATTTCATTAGGAGGAATCCCTTTCCTAATTAAATTGTCACGAAGTATCACATCTGTCAATTTCATTCTATTAATTTCCTCACATACTACTTGCTTTTCATTTGAACCTGGAAGATTTCTCCAAGTACCGAATATAAAAGGTCCAACAATATCTGAAGATCCTTCCCAGCGTGCTAGAGTTCTATGTGAACAACATTCCTCATTACAAAATTTGCACTCACCAAGAATTGAATCTGATAAATCACATTTACAAAATGTTCTTTTTTGGGGATCTTTGTCATATGGATTATGATGCAATTTACATGGATTATATTTTTTTTTTGCATAATCTCGATTATGAGTGGAATCGCATATTGCACCTTCTTTAGGAGGAAACCATATTTCATCATCCTTAAATAGTTTTTTAACCGATCTCATAGTCATTTTTGTATTGAAAATGAAATATGCTTGATTATATACCCTTTTACTTTCTGTCGATTCAAACTGATGTATTATATAATCTAAACTTGAATACTTTTCGAACTCTTCTTGCGTTCGTGGAAATGTATATTCACATTCAATACCAAGTTCTTTGCAGTGATCACATTTTTCAGGATCGTTACACTTAAACTTTTCGCAACAATTCGAACATCTATCATCATTACAACGAATATGTTGGTTTTCACAAAGTTTACATGGTTGTGTCTTCTGAAATTTGTCTTCGAGTTCATTTCTTTGCTTTTCTGGTATTTTTTTAGCACATTTAAAATCTTTTTTACATCGCTTACAATGATAGCTTCTAACAAGAATCTGTCGAAATTCGAATGATTTTGTCATCTTTAAACAATATTTGAAATTAATATTTTGGTCAAGATTCAATGATTTTGTCGTTTTTTTTCAATCTTTTTTTTTTTTAAAAAAAAAACAAAAATTAAATATGTTGGAGGATTAATGCTCCGTATCAATTTAACGTTAATGACAAACAGAAATGAAATCAGTCCTTTTTATTTATAAACTTTTGTACGTAACATTTGTGTATTAGCATTAACGATTTTTAGAAACAATGAATTGAGAAGTTGCGTATGCACGTGATTTTGGTGATTATTTCGTAAAATTCGACACTAATAAAAAAAACTCGACACTAATAAAAAAAACTCGACACTAATAAAAAAAACTCGACACTAATAAAAAAAACTCGACACTAATCAACATCACAGGGTCAATTTCCGCATTATGGCCTAACAAAAAAACTCGACATTAATTAAAAAAAACTCGACACTAATAACAAATATTAAACAAAAAAGGAAGGAGGATCTACAGATTTGACTCTGTAGATGCATAATTTCAGTCAGTTTCTTAACGCCTTCTATTTTATCACATAAAAAAAACTCGACAGCCTAACTTAAGCCTGGTCTTATTCTTTTTTTTTTTTTGTTGACACTTTCACTGTGTAATTTTAAATTTTTGTTCACATTCCCGTCTATCTAACTCCTTCATTCATGTTTACTAACTGTTTAATATATTTATATATTTACTTTTTTCTATTTATCTTTTTTTCGGAAAGGTTGTTGAATTTTTAATGGCAATGTAATTAAACAGATTAAAAAATTAAACGTTAAAGATATAAGTGACGAAAAGGGAAAACCTGTAAATCATCTCATTCAATGAGTGAAATGATTTACAGGTGTTCCCTTATGATAGAGACATTTATTATTGGATAATAACGATCACTTATTATAATTTTAGAGCATTGTGAAAATTATCTGTTATTATAATCAGCTACGTACGTACGTATATTACTTTTTTAACAATGATAATTCAAATCCTAACGACAAAGATATAAATGTTGTTAGGGTATGGGTGTTCATATGATAAAATCAAATTCCGTTTCCACTTACAACATAAATATAGCGATAGAATGAAAGGAAATTCTTAAGAAATTTCTAAATATCGATATAGCTTACGTACGTAGGAATAACATCTCCGTACTAATCATATATCGATATATATAGTTATTATTGCATGGAAGTGTAACATCATGTTCAATTTATGTCCAATAGTAATGTAACTTTATTATCTAAACAACAAGCTATACAATTTATGAATGTACCTGGCTTTAACGGACCCCCGAATTTGGACGGTTCCTCCTGGACCTTAAAAATACGTAGCACTCGGGCGTGCAACGCAGATCACGGAATGTGAGCTAATTTTATATAAAGTAGTGTATCAGTGTCGGTATGTAAATACCGTATATTACAATTGTGCTCGAATAAAAGCAACCCCTTCATTTTTCTTTTTTATCAATTAATTCAATTTGTTGTTTCACTAGTTTTACCAGTTTCGCTATCTTACACAAGTTTCACATTACGGCGCATTTGCAAAATTAAGTCACCAAATCCAAGTATTTGGTTCCCCAAATTAAATTTTAGGTACCGAATTGTATATTAAATCAATCAATGTTAAAACCCGAAAAAAAATTTTGAATCCCTGATCTGTACAGATAACGCGTCTAACCCATCTTCCCACTCTCCAACGCATCTCATTAGACATAAGAATTTATTAAATGACGCATCATAACTTGGGAAATGTTGATTATCTCAGTTAAAATCAATATTTATATATTAGTTGTCAAAATTTTCAAAATTTGGGATATTTCGCAAATGCGCCGTAATGACCACTTTTTATCAATTCGTCATTTTACTATCACAATCATATTTATTATATCACTTTTTTTTCTATACATATTCAAAAATCGATATTTTTATTGAATTTATTTAAGTACAATATATATATTTTTTAATTAATAAATTAAATATAATCCAAAAATCGATATTTATTATCATCTAAAAAAAAATAAAAATAAAATAAAATAAAATTTAGTAAAATACTAAAATAGTCAGATATTATATTGCTTATTATTCGAAATTCCAAGTCCCGACTAGACACTCCAAAAAGCCAGTAACAGCGCTAACACTTGCCAAAAGGCCAGTTACTGGATCTACTCACTTGCAAAGGGCCAGTAAAGACCCGAAGGCCTACTGAGACACCCTTATTCAAGCCAGCATAAATTTACACACAAATATCAAAGACACCCATGCATAAATAAAGCTGCTAATAGCGTAACTTAGTTAAACACCCTTATCAAGCCGTAAACAAATAGCCGACTCGACACTTTCTGAAGCCAGTACAGACAAACAAAGAAATCCTCATAATAAGCCAAGGTTGTTTCTTTAGATAAGACATACCAGTACCCAGTAACAAAGTCACAAAAGTCCCGGTACATATCTATTAAAGATACTGTACATAACCAATCCCTCTTACGGAACCAGTAGACTAAAGTAAACAACCTTCTGTTCCCGAAGTAGTCAAACATAATACTAACCTTTAAACTTGGTTTTTCTTCAACGTGGTTTTTCTTGGTTTTTCTTCAACGTGGTTTTTCTTCTTGGTTTTTCTTCAACGTAGGTTTTCTTCAACGTGGTTTTTCTTCAACATGGGTTTTCTTCGTGGGTTTTCTTCAAATAAAAAAAACAACCGATTTTGTGTACGAAATAAAAAATTAAAAGTATAACTTGGTTTATAATTCTATTTATTTTATGCAGGCAGAAAAACAAAAACAATTGTGTCACTAAAAAGGGGTCATATATTGATCTACATACTGCATATAGGCCGAATTTTGGAATTTATACTATACGTATGTATATACATTTGCTATATATCTTTATACCGCATTATACTCCACTACTTACGCACCACTACGTACTACGTATTCGTATTACTCGTACTAAATTGGTGGTCGTCAAACAAAAAGGCATTAATATTGTTTTAAAAAATTTGCGGTCCCGTGATATTTAGGTCGAGAAATCTTCCATCGGGGTTTCAAGTATTTTTTAAGGATTATGTCTGGCAAATTATAAATTTAAAAACTTGATAGGTTTTATTTATCTGAATGTGCAATCGATAAAATAAAAATAAAATATTTTCTTCGTTATTTTTAACTTTTATACTGAAAATTGAGTCCTAACTCTTATTCCACTTGAAATAATTCTATTTTAACCCAATTTTGTTAAAAATAGAAAAATCAGTAGTTTGCTCATTAGTAACGAAGAATTGTATTTTCATAAGCTTTTGTTTAAAGTGTTTAGTTAAAAACTGATTTTTTAAATATTACCGATTAAAAGCAACCCCGAATAAACACAACTTTTTCACTTTAGTCTAAAGAGTTATCTGAAAAATCTTTTCATGCAACTTTTTGGTTACTTTGTTTGGGAATAGAGTTTGGAACCGGTTTTATTTTTCTTATGTTAAATCCGATTAAAACCGGATTTAACATAAGAAAAGTAAAACACTATTTGGGAATATAGGGTATATTTATTGTCGCGGCTGATTATGAAATCGGATTATTGTGAAATTTAGGGTCTCAATTTGAAAATATAGGCCCTACCAAAATCCACCTATACTCTTTTATTAAAAACTTTAACCATAAATCCTAACTCAACTGTAAAAAAAAAAAGGCTAAAAAAAGGCCCAAAAAAATTTAAAAATCGTACATGAAATAGTCCAAATTTCACAATAATCCGATTTCATAATCAGCCGTGACATTTATTATTGCGAGAAATTTGTGCTTCCACGAACGTAATGAATTACATTAATCTATACCTGTCATGTGTTCTGTACAAATGACGATATGCCATTCTTTACTCGGTCATCATGGCGCACCAACCTGGATTTTCCGGATGCTTGAAACTCAAGTACCCGAAAGAAAATATAATGAGAATCGTTCGCACATGTGCTGTGATCATTACCAGTCTTGAAACGGAACTTGGAATATGGAAAATGATATGCATTAAACCGTTTATTAGGCTTAATTGTAATATTACTATATATATCGAATTCAGATATCAGTCACACGTATGAGCAATTCCTCCTACATGATTTTTTTTTTTTTTTTTATAATGCTCGCTGATTTAGTCGGAATTATGTTATTTCGGGTAAATGGCTTTCATCAGTATAATATAAATTATTGCGCTTTGCAAAAGGATATGAACGTAACTGATCGAAAATATAAAACAACTGACAATCAAAATCTCCTCGATTATCATCAGGTGGTCATACATATCTTTTTACAAAGTGCTATAAACCATAATTCTGGCCGCTGGCCAAAATTTTTCATAATTTTGACAATATATATGTTGGTCCTTTTTTTTTAACATTAAAAGGGCAAATCCGGTCGAAATTCATTGGCATCAAACAATACTAGCGGACTAAGTCTATAACAAGATCATTAGTGGCCATTTTATTCAACGAATAAATAATTACTTCATTAGTGTTAGAAATGTTTGAATGACTTTAGACAAAATTGGTACCCTTGAAACTTAAAAAGGTCAGTTTAGAAGTGTACTTAGCGTCTAAACCGAACTCAATAATAAATTTAGAATTTAAAGTTCGGTTTAGATGTTTTATCAAGTTTTCGGGTTCTGTTTAGGTATAATCACGAACATGTTTATAATATAGATAACGTATACACGAATAAGATGATGATTAAGGTGATACTCAAATTTTACTAGAGATTCCGTTTTTTTTTTTTTTTCTTTTTTTTTGCCGAATAATAAAATAATTATTATAAATAAGTTTATGCTAAGGGGAATAATAATGCAGTGTAGATGGTTTGAATATAACAATATACATCCTTTGTTCACCAAACATAATCCACACCTTTAGTTAAATATCCAGCGTCCCAATTTCTAAGTCATTTACAATAAAAAACTAAAAATAAATAAATACTATTTGTAAGTAATAATAAAATACAATACATGTGAAATAAAAACACTAATGAA